ACGGTCGCGGAGGCTGGTAGGTGTTGGATGACGGGAGGAAGGGCGTCCCTTTTGAAACGCTTTCAAGGCAGTCTCCCCTTTGGCAAAATCACACACCTGCCGATAAACGCCATGAATGGCATCGTTAAACAGTGACGACGATGACCAGGGTTGGTGGAATAATTTCCACTGAAATTCAATCCCATGAAGAAAAGGAGAGGAAGCCTTGCCGGACGAATTACGCGCACGCGTTGGCAAGTGCCAACCTATAGGTGCTCACGCAGGTCAGTGATCACTTTGCCCTGCCATAGCATCATAGTTGTGAGATGATCCGGTCGATCCGGATTTATTTCCTTAAGATCCTGAGTGATGGCATCAGTCGCTGACGCCAATGCCGATATAGGGCGGAGCATACGCTTTAAGCTCTAAGTCCAAAGCCGCGACCCTTGTATCCTGAACTTTATAGGAGGAGACAGAGGAAGAGCCTGTCACACGCTTCATTTCCTCATCCACCTTAGTCACTGTCTGGGCAAAGTCCAAGCCATGAATAGGATAGTCATCACGCCCGTACTCTAGGCTTTTAATAGTTGGGTTGAGAGACATCCCCGCCGAAATCTTCATCAAGGGTAGAGAGAATCTCTCTGACCGCCTCATGTGTTGGCAACATTAAGGAAGGCGAGTCCCAAATAGTAAGGGACTTTGCAACATCAGGTCCCGGTGAAGGGACTGAGGCTATTAAACGATCAGCAATCCAGTCAAACACGTGATCAAAGCCAAGGTGATTAGAGTCCATGTCTTCCTCATAGTCTGGGGCAAAGTCTCTCTCAGAGGACGGTGAACGAAACGGCAAAGGGGAACGGCTACGTGCAGACGACGCCTTAGCAGAAGACACCTTACTCCGAGGTCTCGACCTATGTTCGCCTGCCGAAGACGTGGACGCAATGGGAGACGTTGGCGTAGGCACAGGAGCAGACACAGTCGACAGGATAGGCACCGATGCTGGAGGAAGCAGAGGTGCCGTAATCGTCGGAGGTGGCAAAGGCGCCGTAGGGGGGAGAGGCGCCGATGTTGCTGGTGGCATAAACGGCATAGGCGCTGATGTACCGGCTTGACCTGATAGTAAAGTCAAGAGAGTGCTGAGCGTGGACACTTCAAACTGCTGGTGGCCGTATGGCGTCTGCATCATAGACGCCTGAGGCATTGGAAACCCCGTAGGTGGTTGATACGCATAAGGCGCCTGCCCCGGGAACACTGGCTGGGGTGTCTGACACGGCGCAAACTGCTGGCCCATCGGTCGTTGTGGAGACAACATCGGCAACAGCGTAGGAGGTGAGGGAGCGCCAGGCGCCGATGGTCCGAGCGACGACGGCTCCAAAGCTCCAAAGCGCCAAAGCGCCAAACGCTGTAACACCCGGTGACATAAGCGGCGGTCATCATCTGAATGCTGGTGACAGGCGACTTTCGCTGACACAGTGGACGCTGCAACACTTGATGTAGACGTAGTGGTCGTCAAGACCGGCGTCGAAGTAGTAGACATACTCTTCCGTCTCTGTTGTCCCAGGCGCTTCTTTGTAACCTGGAGATAAACGGAGAAACTCTTGGGTGATAGCACAGCGCAGCTGGCACATTTATGGCCAGGGGTACATTGAGTAGTACAATTCAAACATCGGGGATGAGGGTCTTTACGAGACTTCCCACCCCTACAATGTATACAACTGGCGCTGTACATAGATCTGCAATAAAGCAGAAAACCCAGTAAACGCACATACAAAGTAATGAATATAACAGCATAGTTGAGAACAAAAGTCTCAAAACAACTGAAGGTTTAAGAGACCATAATATAGGCACAATAAATATACCACTATTATATGGTATAGTATATAAGCCTGAACCAAATGAAACACAACGACTTATCAAATACGGCGAAGTGTTGTAATGGCGAAGTGAAAGTGTGATAAACGAACGACATCACTACACAGAACTACTGAATGACAAAAGAGAAAGTGAAAGATAATACCTACACTTCTCGTAGAGGTACAAAAACAAAATACACACAAAGTCAGTCTTTATTAATGCTTCACAAAATATAATCCCGTAGGATACAAGTTGAGCTGGCAAACAACACGTCTAACGAGGCGTGCGAAAAGCAATAATCTGAGGTGGCTGACGTCACCTTCCGGTGACGCATGCGCAGACGAGTAAGCAGCTGAGACCAGGAAGTGATTGCAGTTCTACGTCTTTTTTGACATCGTCTGGCAAGCTTTTCGAGCCGTAAGCAATAAGTGCAGGAAGTAAGTAGTGCAGGATTAGTTAAAAATTAGATGTTATATTTTTTTCTTCATCAGGAAAATGTGATACAGTTCCAACCCGAACCCCCACCCCTATAATAGATTACCAATCCCTGAGAAAATACTTTTTTGGAAATGTTCCTTTTGTGTTAAACTGGTGACTGTAGGGAGTCTGGATCTGAATCTTTTGGAAAAAAGCAACCAAATTGATTGTCCCAGAAACTGGTTTAAAATATAATCATGTTTCAGACGTGAGAAAATTGTCTGCTACAAAAATTTCACTGTTGCAAGTGATTTTGTTGAAAAGAAACTAGGATGCCAGTTCTCATTAATAAATTATCTTGTCTCCATACAGTGAGTGAGTGAGTTTAGTTTTACACCGCGATCAGCAATATTCCAGCTATATGGCAGCGGTCTGTAAATAATCGAGTCTGGACCAGACAATCCAGTGATCAACAGCATGACCATCGATCTGCACATTTGGGAACCGATGGCATGTGTCAACCAAGTCAGCAAGACTGACCACCCGATCCCGTTTGTCGCCTTTTACGACAAGCATAGTCGCCTTTTGTGGAAAGCATGGGTTGCTGAAGACTAGTCAGGACAATGTATATTTCCCTAGTTTTAGCTTATGAAAATAGTTATTGTGCTCAGTCATAACCTTAGAATGATATCAGGTCAACCAATGAGAATACTGACAAATAGCGAGTCTGACGTCATGAGTATAAAATGTCACGTGACCTCTAGCGGAATATGCATAATGGATGAAGCTGAGATAGCAGATTAAAATATAAATAACACTTTTGCATTACAATTGGGGTACATGACCTTATCTTCAACCCAGTCAGTTATTGTAATTTTCCAGTATTCTCCTTTAACACTGAATTCCCTACCAACAACACACTAATACTGCATTCCCTAAAAACAACAGTACACACTAATACTGCATTCCTTACCAACAACACACTAATACTGCATTCCCTAAAAACAACAGTACACACTAATACTGCATTCCTTACCAACACACTAATACTGCATTCCCTAAAAACAACACACTAATACTACATTCCCTAAAAACAACAGTACACACTAGTACTGCATTCCCTACCAACAACACACTAATACTTCATTCCCTAAAAACAACAGTACACACTAATACTGCATTCCCTACCAACAACACACTAATACTGCATTCCCTAAAAGCAACAGTACACACAAATACTGCATTCCCTAAAAACAACAGTACACACAAATACTGCATTCCCTAAAAACAACAGTACACACTAATACTGCAATCCCTACCAACATCATAGCACACAAATACCGTTTACCTTCCAACAACGTCATACAATCAAATATCATATGAATCTCTTACATGATATTTACATACAATAAGTCAGTTTGATCTGAATTTGTCACTGATGTGGTGTATATATAAACTCCTCCATGTCGTACTGTGTGTTGCATTTAACAACTTCAGCAGTATCCTAACATTGAACCCCTCTGATTTTGACAGCTACTGTCCAGTACGTAGTCACCAAATCATCCGATTACAAACATACTACATTATGGTTGACAGAGATGGCAATGAAGGTTGATTACAAAAAGGTTTGAAAATATAATACCAGTATGCTGTCATGAATAACAGGGTTTTTTCTTCATAAAAACACATTTATTTTGTTGTATTTTACTTTTGTATATTTCAATGAGGAAATTAACGAACATGTTCTAAAGATTTTAATAGACGTTAGGGTTTGTATGCAAAACACATGCCCTTTTTTTTTGTGATGTTATCAAACAAATCAGAGTTACTGTCCAGTATGTCGTCGCCAAAATCATCCGATTTGAAACGTACCACGTTTCCTCTATAAGATGGCATTGGCTTGGCATGTTTTAGATGCTAGTGTGTATTAGACACCCAGTATCTAATTGATGGTAATACGTATACAGATATCATTGGTTATTGGCAGTCATGTTTTTACAAATCAATATGTAGGCTATCAATCTGTTCATACGCACACGTTTTATGTGAAAAAATTCATCCTGAATTTGAAAAAGAGGTTTTAGTAGAAAAATAAAATCAAGTATTACTTAATGTAATGGTAGAAAAATACTTTGGAACCTGTAAAGTGGGTTTATCTGCACTTGAAGTAAAGCGTACACACATGTGATATGCCATGTGGAGATGTTGGGAGGTCCCAACCAAGCCATATCAAGACACATGACCATACCTTTGCTTCCTCCTCACTCACTGTACCATCAGAGTCAATATCAAACTCTGGGTGTGACATCATTTCACTGGTGTCAACACTGCAATAGACAACCATACACCTTACTATAGGCAGAACACGCCAACACACATGCTGCCACTAAGCACTACATATACCCAACATTGTTCTAGCATGTCTAAACGTTCACTCGAATAGTCAGGAAGTCACAGCCACCAAAGAGGGTGTGGGAGGTAAAGCAGAATACGCTTTAGAAACACTTCACCAGTTAGGATAAACAATACTGGTAGTTACAATTAAAAAGTGAACTGGGAAAGCTATTATCCAAACCAGAAGCCCTACAAGCCCAAACAATGTCAGTTATATGAAGCATTTGGCATATGAAGAAGCAGCAAGTCAGACATGACTATTTGTTAACTACAGTCCGACTTGTTACTACAAGTAGCAGGCTCCTCTCCAAACCAGCGTGCTGCAAGGCAATCAACTGTTGCCATGTGCCAGCTACCTTGATCTCCTCAACGGTCACAGATCCATCCTTGTTTTTGTCAAAGCAAGACTGGGATAACATCTCATCTACTGTTATACTGAAAGTAAAACGCAACACACATCCTTTACACCTCACCATGTACTGAAAATGAATGTGACATCAATCAGTGACAATGCATCCAACAAAATCTATGCAAGACTATAAGGAAATACCAACAGCTATATCCCTTATCAAAACACCCCATTACCGGGCTCACTGTGAATTGTTATGATTACGATGAGAAATCATACTCTGATAATAGCTGTCTGCATGAAGGCCTGAACACACCTCCATACAAGTAGGGTGAAGCTGAGAGAAATGCAGTACTCAGTTATCTCTTCACTTCCACATTTGTTCACTTTCATAATGTCAAGACAGAAAGAAGTTTCATACAAGAAATACAGTGAAGCCCCGCATCAATATTCATATCTAAGTTGGGAATTCCAGGAACATTAAGTATCTGTTTGGGTCCTCCTTTCATTGTTCCCAGAAACACTCAACCTTTATTTTACTTTGGGAAGAGACACGAGCATCAACAGAGGTGTTGTCAAACCTACACACAGAAAGGTAATGTATCAGAATAACAGAGATGATTGATCAAGAACAGCTTTCAATTACATTTCAACACTTCAAACACATGTCCTGTTTTCCAAAAGGTTTACTGCAAACAGAGAGGCACTCCTTCATCTCCATTTCTAGAAGGTCCGGACATAACAAAACACATGTCCAGTGTGAATCCAAAACCTTCAGTTTGGTGAAGAATGTACCACCACAACCTCCGACCGGTGCTTCAATAATGAGGAACCTGAAGGCATTTCTCCTGACATCAGTACAAGTCTAATCATGTTACATCTGGTTTGGGAAATCATATATCTATTACAAAATGATTTTACCCCCTCCGATCTCACGAAGATAGCCAAAGTTTACAGTTCAATGTTCATCATCCATTCGAGGAAATTACATGCTACACTGTTTTCAGGGGAAAACGTAGCCATTACTAACACAAAGGTTGGTTCAGTACTCACAGAAGAAATACTTAATTCCCAATACCTGAAGAACTCAAGTTAACTTGCCCATTCAATGCCTTGCCCTCAAAATGACATGTACCAAGGCTTATCCTACTGCTATCAACACAAGTTTATGTGAACATAATTTTGACAGGAAGCATAAATACACAATAATCAAGCAGGTTACACATTACACACAATTCTATCTCAGATAGACAGAGGAAGTAACAGATCACTACAAAAGCCCCCTTGGACTGTGGTTTGGTGTGGATGTAAATGAGGCATTTACTACACAATGGTACAATCATCAATTTCCACCATCTTTCCTAGATACACACAGTGGGACTTTCTCTGCAATGATGGTTTACTTCCCACCTAAGAGGGAAACAGTGATGTGGGTGATGTGATGACTATGCAGACTTACAATGTGTCTCTGTTGTGATCCAGTTGTTGGAATGCCTGTGCTGCCTTCAGTTTGTCTCCAGCTGCCTGCCGTTCAGCCTTCACAGCTGTAAACATATAGCAACATTATCTCCAACAAACACAAACCAAGGATGAAGCCAAAACAAGACAGATTAATTAGGAAGGAAAGTTAATGTTGTCCATTGCCATGACCTTGTATATTCAAGGCGGGGTCAAGACCAGAAAAAACAGGGTTCCTAACCAGGAAGAATCTGAACTTCCAGCAATCTACCTGAAGATGACATGTGATGTAAACAATCTTCACTCCACCAACATACAAAGGAAAAAGGAACTGGCTACCATTATCTGAATATTGCTTGGGAAAGGAGGGAAGGATTGATTAGCATTATCATACATTGTCTCCCTCTCACTTGATTCTGTGGAATGGAAAATTTCAAAGCAATTTTGAGGAAGTTCAAAGTTTCTTCAATGTTCCCAGGAAATGGCTGTAAAGAGATTGGTTATATGTGATGCAACTTGTCGACAATGACCAAAACAAACATTGTGCAAAAGAAAATTTTGAACTTTATCACATATCAGCTCATAATGAAATAATAATCAAAATCTGACTTTCATTTGTAAATTTTAGTAGAATCTAAATATTTTCTATATTTGTATACTTATCCTGCACTACTTACTGCCTGCACTTATTGCTTACGACTCGAAACGTGGCTGTGCCAGACGATTGATGTTGAAAAGCGTAGACTGCGATCACTTCCTGGTCTCGGGTAAACATCCATCTGCGCACACATCACCGGAAGGTGACCTCAGCCACCTCTGATTATTGCCGTAAATCCCACAGATGAATACGAAGAGGGGAGGTGGCTGAAAGCGCAGGGTGGGCCCTTATCATAAGTAGTGCAGGATAAGTATACAAATATAAAAAATATTTAGATTTTACTAAATTTTTAACTAATCCTGCACTACTTACTTCCTGCACATATATGGGACAGGCAGGATGGAGGGCGTGTCATCTGCGGGGATCGCCTCGCAAGGTAAACAAAGACAGCTCGGTCAATGTCATCAAGTGCGCCGTGGTGGTGGAAAAAACGGCGTGGCACCTAAAGCTGACAGCGAGTGACGATCAGGCAGTGGTAATACGCATATATAAGACACGTAGTCTTAAATGGTATATACCACACGATGTTTAAAGCGTTATAAGCTTTAGGGAAATGCAGTAAAAAGCAGTGACTCGAGTTAACCCAAGTGTTACTGCTTAACTGACAGACCCAGTTGTTCCAGAACAACTCTCTTCCCACAAGGCGTCGGTGTGCTTCATGGGAACAAAAAGCATGGTGGAAGGTATCTTCCTTGCACCTGGAAGAATAGTCAACAAACAGTGACTATCTCTCAGTGGTAATTCGCATATAAGACAGGCAGGCTTAAATGGAAAGACCACGTGATGTTTAAAGCGAGATTAGCTTTAGGGAAATGCAGTAAAAAGTATTGACTTGAGTTTTTCCAAGTGTTACTCATTAACTGACATACCCAGTTGTTTCCCTCGGAACAACTCTTTTCCCACACGGCGTCATCATGCTTCGTGGGAAGAAATATCATGAAGGAAGGCAACTTCGTGGAATCTGGAAGAATGGTCGGCAGAGAGGGATTATATCTCAGTGGCAATTCGCATATAAGCCATGTACGCTTAAATGGAAAAAGACCACACGGTTTTAAAGCGTTTTTAGCTTTAGGGAATGCAGTAAAAAGCATGGATTTGAATCTATTCAAGTGTGACTCCTTAACTGACATACCCAGTTGTTTTTCTCAAAACAACTCATTCCCCACACGACATCGTCGTGCTTCGTGGCAAACAACAATGAGGTGATATCTGTTGGGGTTTGGTGAGGTGCTGGTCTGGTCCAATGGTCCGAAGCGTTGGACACATGTGGTGTGGATACTGATTGGCGAATACTGTGTCCGACATCTAGAAACACTCATGCATTATCAATGCCACTCTACAGTTACTGTGAAGTGCCATAGTCCAGGCAAGTGTACGAAGTACATGAGGATTGCGAAGATGAGGGGAAACCAGACCAGCCACATTATACGCAAGAATAACGGCAGTCCTTATCCACAAAACACTCGTGGTTTTGCTTACATGTCTCTGACGGCTTGGGTGCTCTTAATGTACAAACTGAGTACATCAGCTGAACACAAAAGTAACACAGGAACGTCGTCGACGCCGACAACAGACGCTAAAGGCGAAGGAGAGAACTATTGATCATTTCGCGCTGGCAACTGGGTTATAGTGATGAAATCCCAATCAAATACCCAGAGGCACAGAACCATGACGGTGTCGTTCAAACTTGACCCAAATAACACCAAGCGAATGACCCTTGTCGTTATCGCTGTGCAAGTCTGCAAGGGAAGTGTTCGTGAGTGGCATGCAAGACACAACACGTAGGCGGTCCAAGACCGTGTTGAGATTCCTGGCGGGCGGTCAAAACTGCAGCCTGGGTACTCAAGTGCTAAACAAGCGAAGCATGGACGGTAGCTCCTGTCAGTGGGGACTGCCAAAACGAAGGGAATTGCCACTAACAGAAGTGGCAACCATGCCCCTCTTGAAACGCCTTCCCTGTACAAATACAGCAGGGAGACTGCTAAAACAGGGGGGATACATTCAGCGGATCCTGCTTCACGGCAACACAACTGCTCGAACAACTGCCCCTTGTTATACATGTGCCTAATGGAAGTCCAATGTTCATTAGCAAAGCAGTAACAATGATCTGGCTGAAAAGCAATTGGTGCAGAATGCCGCCTGAAGATGCAGTGTGTTAATTGAACCGTTCTGGCATGGGATGAGGATGCACTAGGATGTTTCCACATCTGGCTAGTTGAAGAGGAGCTCTTGACGCTTGAAACCAACCTCTGGTTGGTCATCTGGGACCAACTAAATTTAGTCGAAGTCAAGTTGTTAATTCTTGATAGTGACTAAAACATTTGGAAGCAAAACCGGAGGAAACGTATTTTGCGTGTAACGCCCCCAGGAAAGACTTAAGCCATCCACTGCCCAGGCTGACCATTCGGAGACGGAGACACTTAAACCGGTATCTCTTTGTGTAGCATTCATTCTGTGAAAGCGACTCTGTCAGATCCCAATATAGCGTCCGCTAAGATGTACCCGCACCCAGGAATATGCTGAGTGCTCAGATGGATATGGGTGTCAGCTATTACTGGAAACAGACGGAACGTCTGGAAACAGTAACCCGGTCAAACTCTCGTTAAACCCCACAACAATCGTGTTGCCCGTTAGCTATTGCGCCCAGTGACGGATGGTGAGGAACACTGCCTTGAGCTCCAAACTGCTTATTGATCTCACGGCCGAAAACCTGAGGCTATCAGATCTAGAGAGTGCATAGGCGCCATAATTCTGCATGGAGGCGCCGACTAAAACGTATGTAGTTCGGAACTCGCCCAGTCAAGGTGACTCCACCTATGACATCTAAGGGCGAGTCCACTAAAAGGAAAAAAACACTGAGGTATGTGAGGCAGGAGGCCGACACGTTGACGAACGTCCGCCTGTCATTCCCTGGTGGACACATGCAAATTACGCAATATGGCGGACAACCCACGGGAAATCACCAATACAAGCGCTGAATCTTTTAGAAACACCGGGCAGGCACTGGAGGGAGTATGGTTTATAGGCGTCATACAAGCGCTGGATCTGGTAGAAACGCCATACAGGCGCTGGAGGGAGTAAGTATGGGTTTACAAGCTCCGTACAGGCGCTGGATCAGGTAGATGCATCATACATTCCCTGTAGACAGGAACGACACTGGAACAGGTTGGTGTTGCGTCGGAGGCGCTAACGCCGACTGCAGAGCGCCGAGGTCGTAGTCAGTGTGGTAGAAGCGCCATATAGGCGCTGCAGTGATGAAAGCAGAGGCGCTGTTGTACCAGACTGCCCTGCTAACTAGGTCAAGTCAAATGGGAGTCGAAACATCCAGTGACTGCTGAGCACGGTGCATACATCTGAGGCGTCAGGGGTAAGACGTCTGCCAAGGACACGCTAGAAGCAGCAACCTGGAGAAAGGAGACGGAGCGCCAGACGCCCTAGAGCTAGAGGACATCAGTGTTGTCGCAAGTATCTGGATGCTTGTCACAGGCGATGTCGGTGTTGGACCTGGCGCTTCAAAAACAAGTGTAGAAGTGAGCACAGCTCACATATCCCCGCTTCCCACTTTGGGACATGGAAATGACTGATATTGTTATATATAATGTGACAAGGATCAGCAGCTCACAAGACTTTCCCCTTGACTCTACTAAACTTTATATACATGTTAGATAATTGTTGGAAACAACAACAAAACAAATTCTGAAAAACTTTAAAATAGCAAAAGGCACATCAATGGGTAAAGATTAACATGTGTGTGAAGTTTGGTAAACCTAGCATTTAAACTTTAAGAGATATGCTCCAGACAAAACCATCAAACACATTTGGCACTAAGTCGTGTTTCCATGGAAACAGCAATAAAACAAAATTCTGAAAAAAAATTAAAATAGCAAAAGGCACATCAATGGGTCATGATTAACATGTGTGTGAAGTTTGGTGAACCTAGCATGTAAACTTTAAGAGATATGCTCCGGACAAAGTTTCGGGACGGACGGACGGACGGACAGAATGAACGCTATATACCCCCGTTACTTCGTAGCGGGGGTATAAAAAGGTGTTATATTAATTAAGTAAGTGGGGAAAAACACGGAAAAGTGCAATTCACACAGTGTGAATGAAGGCACTTATGAGATACCCCGCCTTACAAACTATACAGCGTGTGCCGTATAGAAACTGCAACATAGCAGAAAAACCCCAGCAAACACGGTGAAAAACATTACAATAGTAATGGGGAACACACAGTGAAACAGTATAATAGTAATAGGGTAGAACAGCATAAATGAGAACGTCTCACAAAATACTGACATAAATTGGAGACCAGAATTAAGGCTTAATAATAATATACAATGATAGTATAACATATAAGCATGAGCCAAGAACAAGCCACTACGAATACATTGAAGCCACGTGTTCTGAATGGCGAAGTGACCGATAATAGTGATGAAACTACTGTGTTTATCACAAACACCATCACTACAACAGTACTACGAAAAACAAAAAAGAAAGGTAATACCTACACTCTCTGAAGAACAAAGGAAAGTTCCCCAAAGAAAGTACCCAAAATTCATAGGAATATAGGATACAAAACAGTCGAGCTGGCAAACCACACGTCTTGCAGGGCGTGCGAAAAGCAATAATCTGAGGTGGCTTACGTCACCTTCCGGTGATGAGTGGGCAGATGGATGTTTACCCGAGACCAGGAAGTGATCGCAGTCTACGCTTTTCAACATCAATCATCTGGCACAGCCACATTTCGAGTCGTAAGCAATAAGTGCAGGAAGTAAGTAGTGCAGGATTAGTTAAAAATTTAGATGTTCCGATTATATCCATGTGATGCAAATTAAAGTGCCAGTGACATGAAAATTCACATCCACAATCTTCACCATCTATATCGTGGTCAGTATTAAACAAAAAATTTCCCCCAAAACTCTCAAAGTGGCATAAAGATATATGTGATGCAGACTTCAGTTGGTGTACCTTCCCAGGCCTTCTCATGCTTCTCCTTGGCTTCCTTCTCAGGAGATTCAGCTTCCGTCTTCTTAACTGCAACAAAAAGTATTCCTTGATCTCTATCATAGACAAGAAAATATGTAAATCCAACATTATTTTCAAAAGATATGGAAACATCAGGTATAAATGACAACAAGAGTTCCATTTTGGACGTTTCCAAATCCAGGATGAGGACTATTTTTATGGATATACAACTTCTTTATTCGGTACACCTACAGAATACCAGATACCTACCAACCATATTCTTTGTTAGCACGCGCACTTCCTATTATAGGGAAGCACGAGCTATATTATTCGAAACAATAAGCGAGCATTAAAATGAAAAATAACCATTGAAATCGGATTGATTGAGACGACTTCCGGTTAGTAAAACTAACCAACGATTTTTAAAATGAAAGGTAAGTTATCACAAATAAAAAATATATACGCCTTTGAAAAAAACGGACCTACGGAATTCTGGGAGTTGGAGCTTCGCTTCCCTGCAACCCGATGCTAACGACAGTGCTGACGATTTCGTTCTGTGAAGGTAAGCATCATATCTAATGTCTAATCTAACCCTAAACCCTAACCCTAAACCTAACCCTAAACCCTAACCCTAAACCCTAAACCCTAATGCTCGTAATGTCGAGTATGCAACATAAACAAAACGCCGTTACTAAGGAACTCAGTTGCGCACATTTTGTGCGCAGTTCTAAAATAAGCTTTCCAAGATGGCGGAAGGTATCCGGTATTCTGTAGTCTTGCCCTTTATTCTGCATAGGCGACGTTTCGACATAGATTCTAATGTCGTTGTCAAGCAAGTGAATCTATGTCGAAACATCGCCTATACAGAATAAAGAAGTTGTATATCCATAAAAATAGTCCTCATCCTGCATCTACCCAACTTCTAGAATGCCAATCAAAGAAATTACAAATCCAATTCGGTTCTGCCCAGTTGGAGAATGTACCTACGTGCACACAATACCATGAGTAACAACACAAAGTCTGTTTCAACTAATCATTTGTGAAGTGTGCAACATAATCCCATTATTACAATTTCTGGTTATACAAAGTTTGAAATGGCCAAATCATGAAGCTACAGTCAGATTACACCCACTCTAAGATATATGGGAACCATGGTAAGGTTATTGCTATTGATGCCTTGCACCGACATCTATTATACATCCATTACAGGTCACATTTGTTGTAGGCAAGACCCCAGGAAGCAAAACTGTTAAATTCAATAATAGGGAAAAATATCTGAAAAAAAAGCATTCAACAGTAGCAAATGCTACACCTAGGATTATCACTAATTTCGCCATCTGACTATGACTAAATTAACACAACGTTGGATTGTGTTATTCCTGATGACACTCTTACATGCTTACTTCCACGCTCCTCCACTTCGATGCTCATAATGTGAATGAGTGCGACGTTTCCATACAGATTCTTGACAACAGTACACCAATTAAAACAAGAAGACAAAGTCACCAATATCCCCCTCAATGGCAAAATACTCTTCATGATTATGTCTACGAGGTATCATTATGTCTAATATTTAGGTGTGTATATAGAAAAGTGGAAGGAGAGTATTGAAAGTTCTGCTCCAAAAAGGAGCACCATCACCAATTTCAGTCTAAGTAAAAATTGTTGCCATGGAAATGCCAAAAATATTTTATTCAGAAATCCAAACCTACCAAAAGGCACCAGTACACCACCAGATCTATGTATGTGCCAAGTTTGGTGAAGAAACATTTAACGGTTTTAGAGTTCTGCTCTGGAAAAGACAAATGTGCACGGACGCACGCACGCACGGACGGAGTCCATTTTAATACCCCCCTCAAAACGCATTGCGGGGGATAACAAATAATTATCCATAAAGTTTGTCAATATACCCTACCCATACATGAAGACATTCACACAGCACTTCTAGCTACCCATGGCTTCACATACTTACCTTCAAAATCCTCCCTTTCACCTATCATTTGTTCCTTTGACTTCTCAAGCTCTTCAGCAAGAGCCTACAACAAACAAATTTTCATCCACTCAAAAATAATTGACTTCAAATTTAAATAAAGACTGTCAAATATATGATGTGGAGGTTTTTTACTAAGTATAATAAGATGTACCTTGTTGGTTTGGAGATTCTGTAAGCCCTCTTCTACATATTGTTTTCTTATGTTGAATCCAGTTTCTCGCAGCTCTTTCTCACGAACCAGATCTTCACGACGCTTGCGACCCAGTTCACTAAAAACACATGTAGCATTTTTACACAACCCAAAAAATGTATCAAATGGTAAGTATGATACTTGACTATCAATCTGACTGGCAGTAAAGCAATGATACCTGTGTTACACTGAAACTCTAAGCTTGAAATTTTAACTATATAATGTATATTAATAATGCTTATCCTATCTCATTTTATGCACACTGCCCGTTATGCACTAATCACATATTTGGAAGATCCCATACTGATGGACAAAACTTGCATTGATTGGCCAGCTTGTAGGCGTGCAACAAGGATTGAAGTTCAGGAACAGTAGGAATGTAGGTACCAGTTGCTACAGCTGCAACAATGTTAATGGCTTCAAGGAAAGTAGACAATGTGCATCTAATGTTTCCTCGAAACATGAAATACTAAGTAACTTGGCGACGGTCTGAGGTGAAGCTGTTGTTTCAGACAAAATACCATGCACTTAGCAACAATCCATGAAACTCTTCCACTTAACAGTAACAAATAACACTGAAAAGGGAGTGAGTTGAAGTGAAGGGAGCTAAAGCAATTGCCAGAACAAATCTCTAGGAACATCCTTTAGCAATCAATGGTCTCTATAGATGCTCCAGATCTGAGGCAACCAGTAAAAATGATCCACAAGAACATGAACAGTCCCGATCTTCTATGAATAGTGACAGATTGTTGCACTTGGGACACAAAATGTGGATATCCCCACCAATGAGAGGCAAAGTAGCAAAACCATCATAATATGAATTTACTAAGGAGTGAGTGAGTGAGTTTAGTTTTACGCCGCACTCAGCAATAGTCCAGCTATATGGCAGCGGTCTGTAAATAATCGAGTCTGGACCAGACAATCCAGTGATCAACAGCATAAGCATTGATCTGCACAATTGGGAACCGATGACATGTGGCAACCAAGTCAGCGAGCCTGACCACCCCGATCCCGTTAGTCGCTTCTTACGACAAACATAGTCGCCTTTTGTGGCAAGCATGGGTTGCTTAAGACCTATTCTACCCCGGATCTTCACGGGTCAATTTACCAAGGAGAACTTTACAGAAAATACAAATTTTAAAAATCCCTTACAGTTGACAACCTGGTTTTTTGTTTCTGTACAATTTCATGAAAGAATGCCTAGTACTCTTTCGAGATATGTCGAGAAATTTGTTGTCATGGAAACAGAAACAAATTAATTTTCTTAAAATATCTAAATAGCAAATGGCACCGCTTCAGCCATTGGTTAATAGATGTACCCAGTTTGGATGAAAACTATCTCATGGTTTTTGAGCGGTGCTCTGGAAACAAAATCCACTCCCTTCCCTTTTGAGACTAAGTCCAAATTGTTTCCATGGAAATCGAGAATGCCAAATCAATGCCAAAAATCCACAAATAGCAAAAGACACTACTTCGGGATCTGTTTAATAGATTTAACATGAACCCGGTTTGGATGAAAGATCTTTCATGGTTTTCAAGTTGTGCTCCGGAAACAAAATCCACCCCATTCTTTTGAAACCAAGTCCAAATTGCTTCCATGGAAATCAAGAAAAATATAAATGCCAAAAATCTGCAAGTAGCAAAAGAGACCACTTCATTATCTGTTTGATGCATCTGCCAAGTTTTGTTGATAGATATTGAGTGTTTTTGGAGTTATGCTCCAGAAACGCAATACACCTAAGACTAAGATCAAATTTGTTTCCATGGAAATCAAGAAAAATACAAATGCAGAAAATCTGTAAATAGCAAAAGTCACCACTTTAGGTTCTGTTTAAAATATCTACCAATATTTGTTGAAAACTGTAGAATAATTTTTAGTTATGCTCCGGAAACAAAATGATTATGGTTGGACGGATGAGGCATTGACTATATCTCCCCCCCCACACACACACACACACACACACACAATTATAGGCCAGGGGCATGAAAAGGGATAAGTGAATGCTTACAAGTTGTAGAAGGATCAGGCTGTTGAGCATTGCTCATAACAATGTACATGTCTTGAACCATAGTCTGGAAATTCAACTGAGAGAAAGATGTTGAGTGTCCTACAGTCCTGCACGTAAGACAGAATAAGAAAATGCAGCATCGCAGAGTCATGTTAGAAGATACACTAGTCGGCAGGATCCTTGAATGAGTTATAGTACAAAATCTTTTCGCCTTACAAAGGGTGCAGCATAAAGCATCATCTCAGCAAAATGACACTGATTTCATCTGGTGGAAACAGCACTTTGGGGCAGAGCAGGGACTGGGTGTGGCAAAAATGATGCAGTCCTAACAATGATTCCATGATCTCTTTATATAAATTACAATATATGCCAGTTTTGGAGGACATTGTGTAATGGAATAATGGTCCCAATTATAGAATCTATAAACCAGAAGTTATGACTTTTACCAAGTATGAAGCGGATGTAATATTTTGTTTATATATTATACTTCAAATAATTTTGCATAAGATCTGTGGCCATTGCATTTCTGCTTTCCACTGCATTCTGAAGCACCATTAGCAATGAGGACAGGATGTTTACGTGATGAACAAAAACAGAAGCCCTTATGTTATCTACACGACTGAGTCAACGCTAATGTTATGTGTGAATGCTGTGTAAACTAAACTTATGTTCTGATGACGATCATGACACAAATACTGCTCCGTGTAATGTGAATAATTACTTTGACAATTATAAAAAGCTACTGCTCAGTAAGAAATGCTGAGAAATGGCAATACTACAATTACCAACATATTAGTTTTATTTTTCATCCAGATATGCTAGTCCTTTGTGCTATGAGCACTCTCTTCCGGGCAACTTCCAGTATCTGTAATTCTTGATATAAGAATTACAGAGAAACAAGTAGGTTTATTGTCGACTGATATATAGACTTGGCTGATAGGTCTACATTCCAATATGAACCTGCATTGGCTAATGTTGGACTGCAACTACAGCAGTGTCCAAGGAAGTAGTGACCAAGAAATCATCCTCATCCAGGATCGGTGACCTTTTTCATGGATCACTTTCGTTTCTTGCTTTCTGACCAAACTTATGCTTAGAATCTCTGTCTTTGGTTCTCCTCAAACTGTTTTTTTGCATACAGCAAACAGATCATTGTCCAAAAGCCTGCAAGTGGGACAGCATGTATTCCAGCAGCAAATGCAGTCGATACACAATGCGTGAGGATCAGTATACAAAAAGGTTGTAGGTGGAGCAAACATTCACTTCCTCAAACCCCTGTCATCAATGCCCATAGAGTAGAACTTAACAATCCTCTTCTAAGGTACCAAAAGAACTCAAGCCTAGCCCCCTGATGATTTCTCTTGCATAGAATGATCAACCTGGGCAGGTCGCATGCTCTGCATGAGCTTCCAGTCATGTCCTATATCAGCAGCTGGAGCTGGTGTGGGTGCTCAGGTGAACTGTTCAGACTTCAGAAAACTTCCAGGTCGTTTCCTCACCATGGTCGAAAGAACAAGAGAAGGTGCATAATGTGAGACAAGCTAAGTTAAAAAAGATATATTATCATCTTACAAGGCAAAGTATCAGCATACTTACTCGCAGGTGTTAGTACACTGAATCTTCTCTTGTTGGTACTCATCAGACCCATCACAACAATCTGGAAACAGGAAGGGGTATATTCAACGTCAATATAACATGCCTTGGATTGGTTCATGTGAAGGCTGCAGCAATGCGACAGTAGTGAGTTTACTTCAAATGCCCATTGGCACCTACATCATATCCATGATCATGTCCAGATATAAAGAACTATTTTGTAGAAATGAATTTTGGATTACTGTGAGTGTGAACTCTGGATATATCACATGAACACATTAAAACCTATCTAAAACCTCAAAAAGGGATGTAAACTATTCTTATGAGTGAGTGAGTGAGTGAGTAAGTGAGCGAGATAGTGAGTGAGTGAGTCTTAGTTTTACGCCAATTTAAGCAACATTCCAGCAACATCACGGCGGGGGACACCAGAAATGAGCTTCACACATTGTACCCATGTGGGGAATCAAACCTGGGTCTTCGGTGTGACGAGAGAAGGCTTTAACCACTAGGCTAACCCACTGTCCCTACTCTTAGGAAAATGTAATTTTCTGATTAAAATTGATATTTTATACTTATCCTGACTCATGCTTAATTGCTTGTCTTCTTCTTCTTGCGAACTATAGTGGAACACTTGAATCCCCTTTTGATGCTCCCTTCAAAAAGGTGGACGTAAAATCACTCACCCCACTAGTCTCCCTTTCCCCCATCTTTTGGCGCGAAAAGTTGGTCACATGATCGGCCATGCTTGTCACTCTCTCAGTATGTTCGAGCCCGATACTTGGATTTGCAGGGAAATCCAGAGTGCCACGAGGGGACGTTGGGAGGGCTAACCTCATGAGTCAGGATAAGTATAAAATATCAATTTTAATAAGAAAATTACATATTTTTCCTTATCCTGACTCATGCTTAATTGCTTGTAGAATCTGACGGAAACGGTGGTGAGTCAAGCCACTCTGGATTCTCTGCTGATTTACGTCCTTATACCCCCTTGGGAACTTCTAGTGGCATTTGTCCTTTCTTCCAGCTTCCTCTGATGAGTGGGGGGACCACAACTTGTCAGATTTATCCTGGAAATCTTCTCCTGACATTTTGTGTGGATTTATGCAGCTCCATCTCTTGATGCTTGCATCAAGTGGACAAGTGACCCTACTTCGTGTACAAGTAAGTCCTTACAAGTACAGGGTCCATCACTCATGCTAGCCTGTCCTAGACGTGCGCATGGACTTTAAAACCGTAACTCTGTTGAGTGTTGGCTTTTACAAGTCACGTGACAAAGGGGTGAGATTGATCTCAGCGTCTTTGAGGTACTGTCAATTGTTGTGCTACAACAAGGGGCCCAAACTGGTGGACGACGGAGACGTCCTCTGTAGCCATGTCTCTGAGGTAGTGGTTGGCAAACACCGTCTCTTATCTCCAAAAGCAGCCCTCCATTATTGTTGAGATGGAGCAGTTTCCATGCAGAGCTAGTGTGGATGCCAGTGCTCTGACTTCATTATAGGCTTTCAATATGACGGCTCTCATCCATATTGATATAGTTGTACGTGAGACTTCTGTAGGTGTCTCCGTGGATAGAGGGATGAAAAGGCGCTTGAATTTTCGTCTCCTCAATTTAGACCTCTGTAGATATATTTTCAATGCTCTGACTGGACATAAGGATCGATCTTGCGTATCCTGTGGTCCTAATATCGACGAAAGTGCTGGGATATGGAATTGTCTGTCTGGTTGACCGGGCAGTTGATTGTTTGCTATAAAATCCCATCTTAGTCCCAGATGCACTGTCACGATGCGTGTCAAATATTGTTCTTCTGAAGTCTAGAGCATGAATTTCTGACATCCTTGTCGCTGTTGCTAGGGCTACGAGGAACAGGGTTTTATGAGTTAATTTCTCATATGATGTCCTTTCTAGTGGTCCATAATCTTCACTGGTAAGATGCTGTAAAACCACATTGAGATCCCAAGCGGGCGCCTTGAATTTCCTTTGTTGGTCTTCCAACTTGAATGAGCGTAGTAGTGCCAGTATCTCTGGTACTTTGATCAGTTTTATACCCGATTCCATCGTGATAACTGTGCTCAAGGCCGCGAGGTATGTAGAGAGTGTAGATCCCTTTAATTGTTTTGTCTGTCTAAGATGACAAAGATATTCCGCCACTTGAGGATGTGTTGCTTCCATCGCAGTGAAGCCTTTATTCCATGCATATTTCTCAAAAACTATGCCACTTGTCATCATACAAGTTACGGGTTGATCTACGTAAGGCTAAAGTTACTGCTTTGGCCGCTCTGGTGGAATATCCTCTTTTCTTCAAGCAAGTCGTGAAACGCTCCATGCGTGTAGTTGAAACATTGTTGGATTTCAGTGTGCTTGCTTGGTGTGTGGATGAATCAGTAGATTTAGCTACTTGGAAGTTGTAGGATTGGCTTTCCTAGTTCTTGTATAAGGTTGGGAAACGGCACTCTCACTGGCCAATAGGGCGTGACCAAAATCAGTTGTAACTTGTTTTTTTCACCTTGACTCTCTGTAATACCTTCAGTATTAACGCTGGAGGAGGGAACGCGTAAGCATTTAGTCCTTCCCAAGAGAGATGCTTAGAGCATCTGTTGCCCATGCTTGTGGGTCTGGAAACGGAGAGACGAATGTTGGTAGTTGGTAGTTGAACTTGGTTGCAAACAAGTCTACCAGTGGGGATCCTACTGTCTGAATGATGTCTCTGAACGCCTCTGGATATAACATCCACTCCGTCGGTAATGGATTCATTGGACGGGATAAGGCGTCTGCTATCACATTTCTGGCTTCAGGAATGTGTGATGCTTTTTATGTCGATGTTCAGGTTGTCTACTATGCTGAATAGATGAAAGCTGAGGTCTAAAATATTCTTTGATCTTGTTGACCCTCGTTTGTTGATGTAGAAGAGGTCTAACATATTCTTTGATCTTATTCACCCTTGTTTGTTGATGTAGAACACCACCGTGGAGCTGTCCGTATGGATCATCAGTTGTGCGTTCCTTTGTATGCTGGACCAGTGTAGTAAGGCATTTATTACTGCTTCCATCTTGAGCATGTTGATGTGCAGACTCTGCTCCTGATTCGACCACTTCCCTGCTGCCACTTCGTTGTCGAGGTGAACTTCCCAGCCTTGAAGTGATGCATCTACGTAGAGATGAGTGTTGCACTCCAGCTCTGATAAGTAGGATCCTCCACAAATATTCGACTTCCTAGTCCACCATAGAAGATATGGTTTCAATCCGTCCGGTAGTCCTAAGGAGACCAGACGGTTGAGATGGGCGTTCACAAACACTTGTAGTGTGCGCAATTGTAGACCTCCTCTGCGAGTCATGTCTTGTGCTGACGTGACAAAACTGATTAGGCTCTGCCAACTTCGTAGTGGTAACGGAGAGAGTAGTGCTTGAGATACCATGGCTTGTATCTAGACCCAACTATTCTTTGAGACGACAATGCGATTCTGCAGTGCGATGAACATCTTCCCAAAAATCTGCTCATATCCTACGTTGTAGGTACCCTTGCCATGTCCGTAATGGCAGCGAAGCAAAATGTCCGGTTCTGGCATCATGACTTGAAGTTTATTTCTTCAATCTTCCGATAATATGTCAAAAGGACTTGTCATCAGAATCACCACAAGTGCAGTGATGATGCATAATTCGTCGTCTCTAGATGTACTGGAATTGCCATCGCTGTGTAGTCTAATTATAGTAGACTGGCTGCCTCGAGCAGAAATCGTCAAACGTATGTTGCTGCAATTCGTCAGATTACCAATCTTCAAACTGCTGACAGGGAAGGTCCTTATGACCCGTGAAGACGGTCAAATCACGCTGAACCCTGCTAACTGGACTGTAAATGGAGCCTTCCTCCCACATTGAAAAGTTGTTTACGATTGTAGATAACTTCCTGACACGTGAGCTGTGCCTGACTTCTGCACAGGGCGTTGTCTCTCATGGACCAATCAGATTGCAGCATTTGATTCATCTCAGATTCCCAGTCACCGGTGTTGCAGGAAAAAGATCCTTGTAAAATCTTGTGGAGTCGTTGATTTCTATCATCAACACTCAGCCTTGTCCGCAACTTCCCGGAATACACGAGTGAACACGTGTATAGCAGGCTGAGTGGAAAACGCGAGAAAGATTTCGCCACGTAATACCGATGTAGGTAGACTGTTTCCCTGGCTGTTGTGACTTTTCTCTTCTTCACTGAAGATAATGCAGTCGTCATTTTATACAGATGATCAGCTGAAGTTCCATACTTGCTTACCGTTGATACTTGTAGACTGTAGTCATCAGTCTCAATGAAGCGCCTTAAAATAACCGATTGTGTTGAATACACAAAAGGTATTGTAGAGTTGATACTTCACTACGATGATTGGAAAAAACGATATTACGCTGAGGACTGCGACAATGCCAATGCTAGGACAGTGGTAACTGTTAAGCTATCCCCTTCCTCACAAGAGCCAGCTCCCTTCAATGGAAGTCATTGATGATTTTGTAGTTCTCGTCTATCTCTGGGGCCTTCATGAAGGGTTCCATATGGCGAAGAGAACTTCTTAGCGTTGAAAAGTGGGATACTTTGACTCTGGTACTTCGTTGCCTTCTTGAAGGCGGTACTGAGTTGTCTGGTACATCCAAGACAGGATCGATGGATGGAAGGGTGAACTTGTCAAAATCGTCGTTAGACATTATGTATGTGAATGCTTCATTATCCTCCTTAGGTGGTGATGCAAGCTCCAATCCATTAGCCATCCAGGATTTAACCTCTGTATTGGAGAAAATAATTCCCCCCTCATTTTCAGCTCTAGATGCATCTTGTTCTGAAGATCGTTGTCGTTGGTCCTAATCTCTGAGTGGAGATCTATGAAGAGATCTGTGTGAAGGCATTCGTGAATGCCTTTCTGAAGATGCATTTGGTGATCTGTGAGGAGACCTGTATCTGCAGGGTGATCCATGAAGATCTTCTATGGGACGTTCGCGCAGGCCTCTGGTGATTGTCCGAATCTGAAGATGAGGATAATCTGCGTTGTTCCGGTGAACGTGTAGTTCTCCTTTTCAACTACAGGCTCCTCGTTGTCCAGGTTGATAGGTTCTCGTGAAGTTGTCATAGCCGATTGTTGTGATCTATGTGTAATCCCGCGAGTGCCTTTTGGAGATGTGGTAGGTGATCTGTATTTACGTGGCGACGACCATGAAGACCTTCCCAAAGACCTGCGCGAAGGTCACCTGTGTCTGTGAGCTGTATGCCTTCGTGAGGGTGTATATTCTCTTCTACGTGGCGTTCGCGCAGACCTCCGATGATTGTCTGAGTCCGAGGATGAAGATGATCTGCGATGCCTTCGCAAATGCTCCTCGTCTATTGCAGGAGCCTCTTCCTAATTGTTGCTTCCTTCGCGAATACCTTTGCAGGTGCTGTCTCGGCTGTTGTTTCCATGAGTGTCTTCACAAGTGGTTCTGCCACAAATGCCTTCGCGAGTGCCGTCACGAGAGTTGCTGTCTTCATGAACGTTCCCTTCACGAACGTTTTCTTCACGCAGGTTGCTTCCTTCATCCCGATGAGGTGTAGACGATGTTCGTCCTCCTTGCAGACTCGTCTGCTTCTCCGCAATCTTCTCCTGAGCGAACCTACGTTCAATCAGGTCCATCATCTGCTGGGTAAACTGCTGCATAAAGATGCCCCGGGTTGAAGGTCTGCGCTGATAACTGGTGCTGTTGTACAGATGACGCCGCATCTAACAGTGCTGAGGTGTCATCTAAGGACTGCCTGTCCTCTCTGGTATCTGCAGTCTGCGTAGATAGGACGTCTGATTGCGTTGATATAGTTGCAAACGTCAGTGTAGAAGAAGATCTTGTCTTCTTCCTCACCGGTACTTCAGGGATGAGGATCGGTGGCTCATCGTAAACGTCTGCTTCGTTCGATGGGTTGATATCTGCGGCGAAGGACCTCGACTTCTTTGCTGCCCCCACTGACGACTTGACTGTAGACTTGTCTGAAGACGGCGTACTGGTCTTCTTGGACTGTGACGAGGATTGTTGAGTCGAAGACGATCTTTTCCTAAGGCTGGAAACCTCATTCCTCTGCTCTGAAGACGCCACCAGCAGCTCACTGGAATGATGTACCTCGACAGACAACAACCCACGGTTATTAACGCATTCACCCTGTTGAGACATGACTTTTAATTGCCGCCTCAACTTGTCCTTGGCACGTCTATGAATAGAATATAAATAATTACAAAATTCAATTTGAGATAAATGCTGACAAAGTTTACAGCGGAGGCTGGAAGAACATATAGAAGTGCAGTTAGGACATAAAGAATGCGGATCAGCAGCTGACAACCGAAACCTGCAAGAAATGCAAGTCTTCATGAAATGTAAACAAGTTGAAACATGTTGTCAACAACGTGAAAAACGGACAAATTTAGAATAAATTTCAAACCATATTGCTGGTAAATCCTTGCTAAAGCCCTTATACAGCCTAATTTAGTATAAAAGCCAAAAATTCAAAGGATATATGCCGTATAGGGGACCCAGGCACTCTCACAACCGTCCACTAGGGCGAAGAAGGAGAGAGTGACAAGCATGGCTGATCATGTGACCAACTTTTCGCACCAAAAGATGGGGGAAAAGGGAGACTACTGGGGTGAGTGATTTTACGTCCACTTTTTTGAAGGGAGCTTCAAAAGGGGATTCAAGTGTTCCACTATAGTTCGCAAGAAGAAGAAGACAAACAATTAAGCATGAGTCAGGATAAGGAAAAATTTGGAATTTGGACGTGAGAGATGAGAACATGGAAATCAGTGCAAATGTGCCATCTCCTACTGCAGGGTGACAGCTTGTGAACAGTGATAAGAATGATGTATATAAAACAAATTCAAATTAAGTGCCTCATCATTCCACACTAGGATGTTTCTGTACTTGAAGTGAGACGAAGTGAAATGGGGTATACATTGTACTAAAGAATATTTCGTTCATACGACGACTTGCATTTGTGTGTATGTGTGGCTGCTTGTACTACCCAAACTTTATAGTGCTAGCTCACTGAGATACCATGCCACAGTTAAGTGAACTTTCCCTTCAACCATACACTGAACAAAGAGACATTACATGTCAATGTACAAAAGTGGATAAATACCCTACTTACCACAATAGCCATCGTTGACACGAGAAGACAGAATATCTTCTGCTACATGACCTTTGTTTTGGCAGAAGAACTTCATGTTGGGGCATGCTGCTGTGCCTGAATAACAAAGAGTCATCTTTGTCACAGCAGGTCAAGGTGGACTATACTCACTGCTCATGCAGCCTACTACTGGTTTTCCTGGGTTTCCCTGATGTACAGGACAACTTACATAGCAAGAACATTGCTGTAATACAAATACTTGGTGGAGGTCAGAATGGTAAGAAGGCATGGATATATTAAATAGAATCAGTATTCCTGACAGGATCAGGCACAAGTGTACACATTCATAGTAAACCATTCTAGCAAACATCACTTGAATTGTCCTCACCTGGTTCATCAGTCCCATCATCACAATCACAATAGTCATCATTGACATATTCAAAGGGGAATTCTTGGACAGTATTCAGACATTTAAAGGTGTTTCCTTCCCCAGGCTGGTAGAGTACTGCTCCTGCAATACAAGTCAGACATCAACAACTTAACTCAAATACTGTTACATTATCTTCCCCTAAAGCAACCACACACAAATACTGTGCCAATGCTCTGTTGAGAATAGGTATTGTGTTTCGTGCACAACGCACCATGAAAGCTATTAATAGGCACTTATTTATATATCTAAGTAATCAAAAAAATAGAAATTTTATCAATATTTTAATGAAACAATTTTCATCCAGCAAAGAAATACTCTTGTCTTGGTTGAAGTCCCCATTATACTAAATTTATTATGTATTCTAAATGACATAAATGTATATTATTTAACGAATGACATGAGAAATTCTGAAATGGCGATTACTGTTACAGTTAGTTGTGAGAAAACACCTATTTGTACTGCCATGATTCCCTTGTGTCACAAAAATACACACGATTGGCAGTAGTGAATGGACTGGACACATTGGTGAATAGCTAATGAATAATCATAAATAATTCTGTTTCATTAATTTAACAAACAGCAGAGTAATTTTGTAAATATTGCTAAAATATGCCGATAACTGTTTGGCAGCCAGTATAGTTGTTTTTCATTTACTGCTTAGTTCAGAAGAAAACTATATCAAATAATCATAATATCTGCACATTAAACAATGGATAGAATAACAGACAATGGTCCCTACAACTATCGATTGATCGCAATTGTGAGATTGTCGAACTGGTCTGGCAAAGAGTCCTGCTTCCCGATTGCTGATTACGCACTGTCAGGTCGGAGTTTCGGCGCAGTCCAGTGATTTGGGTTGTTGTTGGGTATGGTGCGTGAACGAGGATGTCTGAACCGGATGTAGCATTATTGTATCAGATCCATAGGTTAGAGATAGTCTGTCTGGACACGCCAAAGTGCCTTGCCACCTCATGCTGCGATGTCCCTCCTTGTATATGTAAATAGCCGATGGTGTTGTGTCGTTGAGCTTCTGTCAGTCTTGGCATTCTTTTGTCGTCTATAGTGGCTTAAAGCAATGCATGTGGAGTACTGTTGATGTGGCTTTATAAAGCACAGGGGGATACACAATTTCATGATGCATGTGCATTTCATATAGGGTGTGTTTTAGCGATTCACTATAAACGTGAGTGTAACATTACGTTTTTGTTCAACGTTTCTTGTTTGAAGTGTTTTGCCGTCAGTAACCATTGCCCACATGTTGGGATTCAGCATGGATTAATTTGTGTCAAATATTTTCCTAAAATTCAAATTGTTCCTATGCCAAGATTCTTTTTTTGAAGAGGATATATATCATGATACCCAGTGGTGTTTAATAGCAAATTTGACAATCATTATACAAAGCTCCCAAGGTAAGCAATTTATCTTAGAAAACCACCATCTACCCTTTCTAAAAAAATGATGTAACACTACTAGTGGTGGTCCGATTGATTGAAATAATCGAAGATTAGTCGCAAAACTGAACGAATAAGCAATTGATACACAAACAATTTTGGAAAGCTTGTTTGCATTAACAATACTTTCGACAATGTTGTTTTTTTCTGTTACATTTCATGAGCACCACAAGCTTGTTCCAAGACAGGATTGAATTTATCTTAAAGACTCCAGGAAATCTATGTTCCTAACATACTAGTCATTCTTTAAAGGGCCACTGATCCAGAGCAATTTTCGTGGACTGGTTGTTGCTTTTGTTATTGTTTTTCTCCCACGGGTACACGGATGATATCCCAGAATTCATGACTGGTTCGTTACCTCTGCTGCGCCACCCTCATGCGCAATTGATAGTATAAGTATAGACTGATCAACAAAGATGAAATCATTTTTTTACTCGATAATCTTATGTTGATTTTGTTGTAAAATTATGTAGACTTTGATGAATAATTTGGTTTCTTATAAAAAAATATTCACTTTGATAAAAATGCTGATTTTGATGTACAATTTTGATTTCAAAGTAATGTTGACTTTATGAAAATGTTAACGTAAATGGATGTAGAATTTGATTTAAGAAATAGTTTGACCTTGAATTTGGTGAGAAGCCTGATATAATAGCATTGTTTTGAAAGTAAGGCTAACTAAGTACATGGAGAGTCTTGGGGAGAGTAGTGAGCTTGGGTTCACTACTAGTCAATCTGAATGTTGTATTAAATGGCATTTTTTTTATAACAAATGAAAACATTTTAAGTTTAACCATCTGCCAGTGGTAAAAAATGTTAGGACTGAAATAACGAAGTCAATGTATCTTTATATTTTGTCTTATAATCCTAATTAGTTTATTATCATATTTGTATGCATTTTGAAACTTAATAAAATTCACACGATCAGCTTATACTTAGTGAATTTATAACATGAATGTAATATCTAGACATTTTATAGATTGCCAACATGTATCATATTTCACACACACGCCCTGAGTGCGACCTAGTGTATGTTGTCTGTCTCATTACACTTCACGGCTAAAAAATGATTCTGCTGAATGCCATAACAAATAAATAAAAACAAAATGCAAATATTAAAATTAAAACAGACTAAAGTTAAAGCAACAATATCAGGCTATTCCCTTGTTCGGGGGAATGTATCCATCAATATCCACATAAAGGAATGAGATGCCCTTCATCTGCAGCTGACAAAGTATCCTGTTCCATGTCATGTGTCTTTTAACAGTCTAACATGTGAAAAAGTGATCTATCGTTTCAGGTTTTTCACATTGGTGTATAGTCCCATTGGTCACCCAAGATAGCACACCTGGCAACTAATTGCATGATGTCAGCCATTCTTTAAAAAAGTAATTTAGTTAGCCAATAATGAGCCATCAATCAATGTATTGGCAGTTAATCCTTTGAAAGAAGGACGTTTTTCCAAAGAGACTTTACGACAGGGTGTATTCAGTATAGATAAGTAAATCTACATACATAAACACTACCTTTTGACAAATCCACTGTGCAGGATAAAAGCACTTAATCAGCGTGTTATCGGTTAGTCCTTTGATCGATGTTTGTTTTGTAACTCAGCTGATAATTCCTCTTACTGCACTTCCATGCGCATATTACATAAGATGTAATACATTTGCCACGGTTCACACCCGGACTGTCGAATGTTTTATCGAATACACACCGGACTGTTGAAAAGTAGTGGAGCGTGGCAATGCTCAACACTGCTCTAATAACGCCCGGAGTGTCGAACTTGCCTTGGAGAACATGAACCTGCGAATAGCAGAAAGACTGCGCTAATCCGCTCTACTCTAATTAACGAGGGAGAAGACATAAATACTATTTTTGTTGAAATGAGAAAAGAGTTTGAGTTTGAGTTAACTAGATTTGTCACATTTCCTTCTCAATGATACAGATACAGTACACAACTGTTGTTGTTGAAATGAGAAAGGTTAACTAGATTTGAATCAGATTTGTCACATTTCGTCTCACTAAAACTTTATAATACAGCTTGGATAAACGGTCAAATACCAAAAGCCTGGAAACACTCCCTTATGATACCCATACACAAACAAGGCAAAGACGTAAACAAAGCCAAATCATATCGGCCAATATCTCTAACATCTAACATATGCAAAAGCATGGAGGGTATGGTTAACAAGCGACTCACACAATATCTTGAAACACAAAATCTATATAATATTCCATAGACCATCTAATCTGATGACATATTCAACAACCTCAGTCAAAACATAAACAAATCCCAGTTTGCCGACGATGGAGCAATATGGGTTAATGAAAACCAGCACTTAACATGGAACAAACACACTCAATTCATACACGACAAATGCAAGTCAGATCTCAACATTATTAAATACCTATCACATAGTAAATGGGGTAGCACAAACAAACATTACTACTATTATATAAATCACTCATCAAATCTAAATTACTCTATGGCTGCGAAATACTTCAAGATATGGCACAAACACCAATTCCAAGCACATTCTAACAAACCCCAAATTAATTAAACCACTCATTAAATATCTCATTCATACAAAATTATACCAAACAATCTAGCAAAAAACAACAACAATACAATAATTCCACTTAAAACTTCGACAAAAAAGAGGACACATATTCCCGAGCATGCCCGTATAACAAAGGGGCCACAATAAAGAATGTACTGTATAACGTATTTTGTTTTCCTTAATGCCCGGAGCTTGAAACGCCATAGTGTTAACGCCTAATTACCTCCTTACGTAATACCCGAAACATCGAATTTATAAAATTTCAATTTTCGACAGTCCGGGTGGACACCTTTGCCACATCAGACCTCAATTTATAATGATGAGTATTTACTCCAGACACAAGAAATGCCAAATGGGAACCTTTTTCGGGTAATCTGAGTGGTGTTATCACTAATTATTATACCTGTTATAAAATCATTAACTGACCATCAAGTGAATGATGACAAATAACATGTGCAGGTTTACCACCAAACAATGGTTACAGCAAGAGAGTAGTAATCGTTGTATTGCATGCAAGTTTGATTGCCTGAAAAAAACCCACTTATGGGCAGACACTGTTCTGAGGATACGAACGGAACTTCATTGTTACATAAGAAATATATATAAGCATTTGCTGTGTACTTAGTTAAAAACTGTATATACCTATGTACCTAAGTAAAATTTCAGATTTATTTTGCAATGGCAAAGTGGGGTTGTTTAGTTTATGGATTCAAATATATCAAATTTATGTTTTTGATATCATAGCATATGTAATAGACATCATATTTTTACATGATTAAATATTGAGGTAAAAATACACAGAAATAGGATGAAATTGGATCAGTCACTATACCATCCAAACATTTGAAAATCTGAAAAAGCCTACACTGTTGGGATACTTTATTACGGTTTATTCGCAGGAAGGCGACTTTTTAGTTTTAGCTTTTTGCACGAAGGCGAAACACGGTACCCCTTGATGTTTGTTGCAGTGTTGTTGCAGTAATGTTTATGTAAGGGCTTACGGGAGATTAACGGGGGATTCGCATAAGGGTGGTGACTAAATTTGTACTAATTTCTACGTGAACACAGTTCATGGGTCGGTTCATGCTGTCACTGATTTTGTGAACTGTTATTTACAGCCAATGGGTAATCATAAGAATTGAGAGTTCGTATCAATCGCAAAAAAACAACAATGTCAACAGTTTTATATAAATATATACTGCACGTACAACATGAGACATGGAAAACGCGGTATCCTCCCAAAACTTCTACATCCCAGAACTTCCACAGCTTATAACAATGCACATCTACAGTACAAGTATCTACCTATAGCTCAAGGTGGAAGGTATTTAGTAGTTGGAAGTTATATGTACAGAATAAGTAAGTTGAAAGTTGGGATTCCAACCATTTTGTACACATGTAGGAATAAAATGAACATGAACGTTTTGTGGTTGTCGCCTTCCTCTGGGATTAGGGTTCTTGTATAAACACCTGAACCCATTGTTGCAAAAGTCGCCTTCCTGCGAAACACCTTTATTACAATCAGACAAGAACTACCGGGGATATTTTCAAGTAACGGCATCTGATGGGCATCCACCCTTCCTAATGTCCCACTGATTAGGTTGAAGAAATTCTGCCAGGGTGGACAGTAGCCCAGTCCCTGTGTCCATCACGGGAGCAGAGTCTGACCAGTTTGCAGCTAGGTTTTGTAATTAGACTGTTGGCTGGAAACAATAATCGCTCTGAATCAGTGTCCCTTTAAAGATGTGAAATTTGCAAATGCATATTGTGCAATTTGCAAAAAAACCTCGAAAGATCTACATGTTTTTTCTTTATTTTTGTGCACTAACAAACATAAACAGGAAAATTTGATTAATGACGCTAACCAATTATTTTCGAAGGTAGATCAGCTGTTATGGCAAGAGTTCCTCCCGTTAGGTTTAGGTTTGGGGAAACGGAAGGAACTCTTTCCGCTGTAATGAATCAATCATCAATTATGAGATTTTAACCAATTCCCAACACTAAACACTACTAACAGGAAACCTACACTTTGTTTAGTCACCGTTGTATGTTTCATCTAGAAGAGTACTGAATCATTTTCGCCTTGTGTCAGAGCCCAGATCATTGCCCGGGCCATAGTGGGATTAGTATACCCGGATCCTGGTTAACACATACAATTTTTCACTCATTAAAACAGTTTATGACGACTAAGCTAAACTAAAGCCTTAGAACGCCAGCGCCGTACTCATGAACTCTCTGCGAGCCATCTTTTAGGAAAGCGAAAACGTCTGACACAACATGTACATCTATTTCACCAACATCATATTTCAATTGAACATAAACTGACGTGAAAGCGGGACACCCCTCGGTCTTCCGATGCCGCCTTCCACAACCAAAATTGTGACAACGACAGACAGCACGCTCAGCAACATCGCCGACATTTTATCAACAGGGTAAATGTCGTTCTCTCATTGGCCGAATGAACAAGGGAGGCTACTCCTAAATTCCATGACGTTTTCAGTTCATCTTTGCAGCATTCCTTGGTTTTGTGAGAATGCATACGTTTAATCAATTAACTATATTAGAATCACATGTCGTATCAAAACAGTTTCATACATTATTTGTAAAAGTAATATGTCAATATATTCTTTCGGAATTCAATGTGGTAATTGTCTTCGAGCTCATTTTCGACAGAACATGTGACGTCACGGTGATCCGCCAGCAACCCAAGAAATAATTTTGACGTATTTATCTTTTGTGATTTGGGCAAATGTAAGCCGTAATAATGGCAGATTTCTTTAAGTCAGCCTTTGGATATTTAAGCGGCGGGCAGGGCCGCATAGATAGTGATTTCGTAGGGCAGAGTGTCGAGTTGGGAGATCAGAAATTGCGAGTAAAGAAAGTGATAGCAGAAGGTAAGTGTCAAATCTTGACACGAGTCTTGGTGTCTTTTTGTGTTCTATTAATTGATATGCCCAGCAAAAATATCTTGATTTCTAACTACCCAATTGCAGTAATGTTCGAAAAATAATAGTTGTCACATGTGCGTTATCAGTATTGATACAAAGTTAGAAGTAAATATATATGACACTGAACATGAATCTTGAATAAAAATTGATAAGAGCCACACAGCAAATTAAAATACAGTAACGTTGTGGTACTTTACCATATTTACCTGGCATGCTTTTTCTCAGGCTGGATTGCACTTTACGGGGCACACACTTCGGAGCAATTATTGTGCGATAGCGAGACAGCGGTAATTGCTTCGTCTCCCTTCGCTGCCAGTCTACAATCCTTAGGGATTTAGAGTTAGGGTTAGGTACCCTTTCCGATCCTTAGGGTGAGGGTTTATTGTTAGGTACACATTACGATGCTTAGGGGTTAGGGTATGGCACCCCTTCCAATCCTTAAGGTTAGAATTAGGGAACCTTTCCAATCCTTAGGGAGCTCACAAATATGGCAAACAACCCTTTCCAATCCGAGACCTTATCTCAGTGTAATCTGATTATATCCAATTGAAACACATCTTGCCCCATCCAGTTGAGCTCAGAAACAATGGCGGAAAAAAAATGAATTGGAAGGGTGTGGCACAGTGAGGCGAAAGCGTGAGAAATGAAAACAAACCATTGGGCTTACGTATTTCTCATTTCCCGTGCTTCTGCCTCACTTTTTTGCTAATGACCCGTTAAACGAGCACTCATTAACTGTGATGGCACTCTTGGTCCTAAGGTAGAGGATTGTCTCCGTGGTGTAGTGGTGAGAGCGTCCGACCGGATTCCACGACCGTATCATACCAAAACACGTTAAAATATGGTACTTGTTGGTCCCAGCCTGGCACTCGGCATTAATGGGTATAACAAGGACTGGTCGGCTCGGAGTCAGTATAATGTGTCTGAGTGGGGTATTCATGCTTTACTGCGGCATTGTATCTCAGAGGGCTAGCACTATAAAGCCAGCTTCTGTCTGGGCTAGTACAAGCAGCCGCACATACACACACACACATGCATGCATGTCGTCATATGAGGAAATATCACCTCACCTCACCTCACCTCACCAATTTCACCTCACCTCACCTAAGGTAGAGTGTCTGCTAATTATGTCATATAGTGAATTACAGTAGTCGAGTTTGGAAGTGACAAGACAATGCATCAGAAGTTTACAGGTGTCAGTATCGAGGTAGTGGCAGACTTTGCTGATATTATGGATGTTGTAGTAGCAGGCTCTACAGATGGAGGTGATATGTGCATCCATGGATATGTTGGAATCGAGCATGACACCAAGATTCCTGGCACTTTCTGATGGTAGGATGTCTGTGTCACCGATACGAAGTGAAGGTGATGGCAAAGCAGTCTTCAACTTCTTAAGCTCAGTGGTGGAAATAACCCATTGCCCGAAGTCCGAGTCAAGTGTTTTTTTCTGTCGGGCAAGCAAATTTGTATATTACACTGTACCGGTGTCCAGTTGACTTTCCAATGTTAATTATGTTGTTTATTTAAAGAATCAACAAGAAAACGGCCGGTATAGTGGCAAAATTATCAGGGCAAGTGATGTTACATGTGCCACTGTACCGGATTACCCTAGCAATTTTAAAGCTATTTCTACCCCTGATGCTGATGTTTGGAGCCTATGAGAAGGAACTCTGTCTTCTCCTCATTCAACATCAAATAGTTGGAGATCATCCATGATTTGATTTCATGAATGCAGAGTTAAAGAACAAATAAACTTTTTTTTTTGGTACTCTTTTAACTATTACATATGAAAGATTTGTAGTTAGTCTTATGCGGAACACCAAATTCATGCTTAAAAACCTAGTGGTTAATTAATACCGAGCGATTAAAAGTGGCCAAAAAGTCGCCTGCTTCATTCTCGCCCGCCAACGAAACCACAGACAGGTTACGTAACTCTGTCGCCAGAGCACTGCAGTGACGCCATATGAGGAAGGATTTTCAGTTAGTTGTATATAAAGTGTGTAGCTAGCTCATCATTTTGATGATTTCTCGACATCAATGAAGACATGCCGAATCGTTGCGTTGTCGTCAATTGCTCTTAGGGGTTGGGCGATGGTGTCACCATGCACAGATTTCCACAGGACCCCGCAGTTCATGCTAAATGGGTTATGTTTGTGAGTGCAAAGTGAGCGTTGTAACCTGAAACGATATCTTACTTGTGTTCAGATCGCTTCACGGAAGTTAAAGAATCAAAATTAGTTGTAGTAAAATATGTATATGATTGATGACCCATAAAGATTTTCCATGACACAACTTGTAACATAACGATTTCTTCCTCGGAAGCGAGGTTGTGGTCGAAGTAACAATAATACTGTAAGTAGTAGTGGTCGTCCGATTAATTGAAATAATCGAAGATTGTTCGCAATGACTAAATGACCAAGCAATTTATCATGTTTTCTCATAATCGAAAATAAACCATTTTGGAACACTTGTTTGCTTAAACAATATTTTTCACAAGGTTGGTTTTGTCTGTTACATTTCATAAGCACTACAAGCTCGCTCGTTTTGTAACTCGGTGAAAACAAACCTAAATAGCATTTATCCTCAGACTGGCGGATGTTTGCAACAGGGCGCCGCCATTTTTGAAAATTGTAAAGTCACAGGCTAACGTCTGTTAGAATTAATGAGATTATGGTTTGTTTTCATCAAGTTAGAAAATCAAAACTACTTTCTACTCGTAGTTAAATATGTATTTGAATCATGACCAAAAGGACTTTGCATGACACAACTTATAACGATTTCTTCCACGGAAGCGAAGTGGGGGTCGAAGTGACAATACTGCGCGATAAATTTCTTGCTACATTCACGTGGTTAACGTCCACTCACCAGTATCAGGGAGACTATATAACGTGTTGTAGATTATGTAGATACTAGTCAATGTACGTCTTTATATTTGGTCTTATAATCCTAATTAGTTTATTATCATACTTGTATGCATTTTGAAACTAAATATAAAGCAGACGATCTGCTGATACTTATAGTGAATTTATAACAGGACTGTAATATCTAGACATTTTATAGTTTGCCAATGTGAATCATAATTCGTACACACGCCCTAGTGTATGTTGTGTGTCTCATTACACTTCACGGCGAAAACAATGATTCTGTTGAATACTACAAAAAACAGTCTAATATACGAAAAAGTGACATATCGTTTCAGGTATTTCACATTGGTGTATAGTCTCATTGGTCACCCAAGATAGCACACCTGGCAACTAATTGCATAATGTCTGCCTTTCTTTAATAAAAAGTAATTTAGTTAGCCCTCTCATACTATGACATGGTGACAGAAGGGAACTAGGTGATGTTGGAGGTATTGGACAGTCAGTAATTCATGTGATATCGTTCCGCCACCAAGCTTAACAAGGAATCTGATCTTGACCAACTGAAGTCCCTGATTTATGCCATGGGTCAGGGAGCAGAACATGTCTTTAATTCTTTCACAGAGCTCCAGATACACTTTTGGCCATGTCGGTATGATACCCATGCTTTTGAGACTAAGTGGGTATTCACTAGGGCTGCACAATATAACCGGTTTACTGGTATTTACCGGTTCAGACATGAAAACGATACGTATTGCGATACGCTGATCGAAAACCGGTATTTTGACATGCATTCGGAAAGCGTCGTAACACTCGGAAATCTTCGGATATTTCACTTCCATGGCACGGATAGCTAATGTTACAAGTTCATTTAAGATATCACCAGCAATTAATTCTGACTGTGAAACACGGTACTTGCATATTAATTCATCTAGCAGTCCTCTAATGAAGTTGTTTTCTGTTTGTAGTGTAAAAAACTGGATAATTTACTTTGAGCGTGTGGAAGCTTATCGATTTGTTTGCAGGATATGTAGAAAGACACAGCTATTTGATTGGTTGCTATTCATAGATGGGCCAATCAGTGAAGGGTTAAAAACCGTGACTGGTATTCTATCTGCGTTGCACATCTTAATTGCATTTAGAATTATTCAAGATTCTTTTAATCGCAAATATTTGGAGATGGAAAACCTTTAAGTTTGTTTCGATTGGTTTGAGTTGATGCAATGCGCAACATGATTTTGATGCATTGGGTAAATTCGCATTGTTATTTTGACATAGCGTAAACGTAAATATTTAGCGTCTTTTCATACCCTGGCATTTATTTTTCTTGCATATTTCAGCTTTTCTATACAGATATATATTAGTGGGTATTTTCAATGCATATTTTACGCATATAGGCAGCTTATCTAGACTTCTGGTCATGATAATGTCTTCGCATTTGGTAATCAAATCTCACTCTATGCGTGCATTAGGCACACTACCCTTTCCACAGCTCCATATTATGGAAGAAATGTGTATACTATTTACAGAAAATATTGTTGTCAGATATTTCAGAGTGTTCTTCTTTTTGATATTTGACTTTCATAAATCTGATACTAAACACATAGGCTCCAAAGAAAAATCCTTTGATCGATATGTGTTTTATGTTATTTCAAGTTGTTTCCATGATCATAAGCTTCACAGTGACTGCTTTGTAGAGAGATTGTAAGATCATTATGTTTTAAGATCATTAATTATGTTAATACTAATTAACCATGAATCATATACTTTGCCTATAAAAGCACATGAATCAAGATTGTTAAGTGATTGGTAACCATAGCATATATTTGTGTGGTGTTCTCTTTATGATGTACATTGGATATCATAAAGATTTATTGAAGTTGAGTCCTGTGATTTACAATAGTACGAAAGCTTCATCTTCCATTTAAAGAGTTACCCCGGTGACTACCAAGAGCTGCTTTAGTTTAGACAAAAAGAGACTAACTTTATAGAATTTTACTCATTAAGGGCTCTCTTTATATTGAGAAACCCCCTCCCAGGTTAATTTCGTACACAACTGTTTGGTTGTTGTTTTTTGTTGTTGTCCCCAGCCGCAACCCGGAACGGGGAACTATGTATTCAGCGGCGTCCGTACGTACGTTCCAATTCTTGTTAACGAGATATCTCATGAACGGTTGAACTGGCACTTGGACCACTTTTGAAACTCTTGTTAAAGCGATATCTCATGAACTGTTGTACCCAATGTCTTCAAATTTGGTGACAGCCTACATTGGGGGATTACGCAGACACCAGTCGATTTGGGTGACCTTGACCTTATTTTCAAGGTCACCACGACACTTTGACCACTTTTGAAACTCTTTTTTAATGCGATAGCTCATGCACTGTTGCCATATCAGTGGCAAACACTTGTTATATATATTAGTTTGGACACATCACATAAAACAAGAAAGACAGCCTGTTCACACCATTTTTCCAAAGCCATTGTCTGATATCTAACAGTTGCTTTTTAGCCTTCTTTATACGCACCACAGCAATGGTGTATAGTCTTGGAATAATTTACAGACGTATTTATCTGAAAAATTATTGATTTATTGTATATTGACCTGTTTACACAAGAGTAGCAATGTTGTGGTGCATATATGAAATGAAACACAACATTACTGATACACCATTAAATTCCACTCAGTACTCTAAATGTACTCTTAAGTTTTTCCAGTACTCCTATATTGAGAAAATAAGGAGTACGTACTCCTGATGTTGAAATTATGAAAACCTATCTGGAGCCCTGTTTACTGTCTTCATAAATACAGTTTGCCTGGTGTTTTCAGTGTTCCCGGTGGTTTTGAAAATTACCGGCGGCTTATGCCGACGGGGTCTGAAAATTCCGGCTGAACTAGTTTTTATCCGGAGAGACAAATTAATCAGTAATCGCAACGATATACTGTACATAAATGTGTTGAAAAGTCTGCCGTACGAGTTGCTTGTTTTTCGAGAATGCTCATTAGACCTACAGCGTCCTGACAAAAGTATTCGCCATTTGGCATATATAGCCGTTCGTCTCGTATTTTGTCACAATCAGAAAATGAAAGCGGTCCAACTAAATTCGATAAATGTGTTCAGAATGTCATTCGCTATCTAAATGACTGTGAAATGTGCAAATAATTAGTGTTTATATACCCGTGGTGAATTTCAACCTGCATTTCACGAGCTGAAAACAACGATTCTCGGACACATGCTTCGGCAGCGGGTCCACAATAACATTGTCAAAGAGCAAAGTAACCATGTTTCGAGGAATTCATTAAATAAATTGAATAAACTAATGAATAAAATCAACAACATTCATAAAGTTGTACATACAAAATTACTATTTTCCATGTTTTTGTGCGATCATGTAATGTAAGTCAAGTCACTGACAACTGACATCTCGGCTCTTGCCGCCTCAATCTTCACGCTCGGACACGATGTTTAATGCGAAAATATATACATGAAGCATATTTGTCACAGGTCATAACCTAGCACGATACGTCCAAAAGTTCCATAATTTACGATAGGTAGCGATTTCTTGCTTAATATGTTCAGAATAGCATTATTTTACCCAAAACTTCTGTCTAAATCTAAAAGTTTTCGCTTTACTTAGGACGGAATCCATTGCCGTAATATGATTGGCTGCTTTAGGTCACGTGTCAGATTTTGACCAATTCGACACTTTATAGCAGACTGTGGCGAAAAGGCGTCATTAGAAACCAATCTTTATCCAATAAAATCGCTTCTTACAACTGTGAAAAAACTATATAGTCTAAATTTAGATGGGGGATTGCCACCCTAGTTTTCAATATACGTTTGCATAATGATCTGAAGAGAACAAAGAATAAACAAAGATGTTATCTGCAAGTTTATTAAATCTGCCGATAAATGGCAACTTTAAGCAATACAAAATTTACCGGCGGCAGCTACCGACGGCAGTTGAAAATACCGGATCTTCACAATTTTTATCGGTAAAAATCCGGTAATTACCGGAGAACGGGAACACTGGTTTTAAAAGTAGGTGATAATACTGATATTCATATCTGTTACTAGCTATGAGGTCTGCTGTGATCAGTTATGAATTAGTAAAATCTGATTTTTGATTGCAGGTGGCTTTGCCTTTGTGTTTGTTGCCCAGGACATCAGCAGTGGGAAGGAGTATGCCCTCAAGGTAACACACAATGTGTCCACCTTGATAATGATAAGCCTCATCAATTAGTTTTGATAACTTGGTTACAATTCATGACATCAGTGACTGCAAGCAGTAATTTAGCTTTTGGGCAAGTAAAAGTCCTCATCACACGGCCAGTTCTTGTTTTTACTCTACAAGAACTAGCATACATACAGTTGTAACATTAATTAATAATAACATTATATAGGGAATTTTGTATCAAGTTACATGGACTATAAGTTTGAAATGAGGATTGTTCTCGCATTTGACATTGAAGATCAAGGTATAAGACATGGTCACAAATGCAGCAAAGTCAGTTGCTCAGTTGTTCAAATTTCTGGAAATAATAATAATGTGTCCATTTATATAGCGCGCCAAACTCCATACTAGGTATGCTCATAGCACTAACAATCAATGCACAGCATATTATTACCTCATATAACCCAAGCTGCCTGTGAGGCGCTAGAAGGTTATAATCACTGGGTACCCATTTTCTGCTGGGTGAACAGAAATGCAGGGCTCGATTTAAAGAGATGTTAACCTATTTGCACTAGGTGCAACCTAAGATAAAAACCTAGTTGCACCAGCCAAATTCCAGTTGCTCTGCTTTTTTTACAATATGTAATGAAAATAATATGCTATTGAATTATTTAGATGTTTCATTCATAAGTTTACCCACTCAAAAATTAACCTGCACCTGGTGCAAGTTAGAGTAATTACTTTGTTGCACTTTGTAATATTGGGTTGCACCAGTGCAAGTAACAAAGCACTAAATCGAGCCCTGAAATGTCATATTACTTCATATAAATTTGCAATCACCACCTATCATATGTCATGATTGTGTCAGTTGTGACCTTTTGAAGGTCATTTATGCTTGATCAGACTTGTCAATAGTTTCATTCAGGAAGTATTATCAGTATAATGTGGAGACTCCACCTTCGTTTGCCCTCGCCGCTCGGTGTTGAATGGGTTCAGCAAAGTAGCATGATCACAGGTAGTAGACTTGTCCAACGGTGCATATTATCAGATTCAACAGGGACTTAGTCAGTTGCCAATCAGATGGGTTTTTTTCTATTGACAGAGGCTACTTGCGAATGATGGTTTTTTTTCTATTGACAGAGGCTACTTGCGAATGATGGTTTTTTTTCTATTGACAGAGGCTACTTGCGAATGATGAGGAGAAGACAAAGGCCATCATGACAGAGATCAGATTTCTTGTATCCTTGCATCAGTATTGGAAACACATGACATAGTCCAAACAAGACAATTATGTTCTGCTGTCACCTGTTGTTGCAGCAATGCATCATTTGCAAATGAAAGACTGCATATCACCTCAGCTTCTAAGTTAGCAGCTTCTATTGACTACAACATCTTTAGGCATCTTCAAATCCCGCTAGGTTAGGTCATGGAGATGTGACTTCAAGGTGACACTGCCTTGTTGTAACTTCTGCTGATTTTTGCAGTTTGATCATATAATAAATGCAGTCGTAGGCATATGACAGAGATGCCAGCCATTATGATTGTGATGAAATAATTACACTTAATAGTTAATCTTAAGAGCCTAAAATAATAGTAATTACTCTTACATTCTTTTTCAGAGAGATCATCCTTGGGGTACATATATGCATTTTCTGCGGCTGAAAATGTCCTGTGACAGTTGTATCAATGTTTTAACAAAAATATTGTACAATAAATAAAATCTTCGCATTCACATAATTTTCAATGTTTTGTATGTGTATATTTATGCTGCTGGCTCCGCTGTTAGCTACATGCTTGCGTGTTTGCTTTCAGGCGTTTACTGGATGTTCTGTCTGTGGGCAGAGCATCCCCCGAGCTGATAAGCATGACAAGTGCTTATGTTGTCTTGAAAAAGTCGGCCACAATCCCGACATTTGCGAGCTCTGCACGGCCTTCTCCCCCCGGGCCCAGAAACGGAGGGCCGCGGATTTTCTCTTTTATAAAGAGTTGCGAGAGGCGGGAGGGGAACTGACCCAGGAGGTCCACCTGTCTAAAGCAAAAAATGGTAAACCGCCAAAAAAAAAGCTAAGGCGCCTCCTCAATCACACAGTGGTTTTGACATGTCGCTAATTACGCAACTTTTCCAGCAGCATATGGACTCGGTGAAGTCCCTTGTTCATGAGTCGGTTGGAGGTCTCCGTCAGGAGTTCCTCGCCCACTCTGAGCAGGGGACGGAGAGTCCGGGGGTGGGATCGCTGAGCCCGGCTCGATCCCTTAGCCTTGAGGCATCTGTCGATCCGTTGCCTCTGGCTTCGGGTCTGGACGCCTCGGCTATCCCGGAGGGGGAGGGTTCGCTCCCAGTCCCCCTCTCAGTGTTGGCGCAGGGTCCGTTGAGGATTCCTGGGGTTCCGTTCCCTGCGCCGCCCTGCCCCATGAGAGCGGAGGAACCAGTTCTGCCTGGTCTTCCTCCCGTGTCTCGGGACCTGGGTTCGAGTGTGGTGTCGGTTGCCGGAGCGGTGAGTTCCTTCGGCTCTTCCCTTCCCTCTGTGTCTGGTGCTCGGACGCCCACCGGGTCTGGGGTCGGGTCCTCTTTGCGAGGAGACCCGGCTTCTGACTCGGGCTTGGGTGCCGAGCCAATGGACGTTGGGGAGGCCGAGGAGCCGGAGGGCACTTTCCATTTCTCGACAGTTCTGCGGGAGGTGCGGCCACGTATTGCCGATTTCATTCCCCAGGCCGCGGTACCCACCAGTCACTCGGACTCATCTGAGTTCCGCCTGCCGGGCGAGTCATTTGCCTGTAGGCAACCCTCGCAGACACTGCTCCGCATCTTGCCTTCCCTGGTGCAGGACGTGATGGATCCCCTCCTGGTTGGGACACGCCTCCAGTTCGACTTGCCCGAACTCGTCAAGAGGTAGCAGCTTGGGAACGATTCACTGTTCTTTGTACCGGTGGTTGACGAGTGTGTGTTTACTTCGGTCGCCCTGGGGGGAGGCTCGGCTTCCTCTGGTGCAGCCCCGGCTGCCTAGCAAGGGCGTTTAGTGCCACTGTTTGCCCTTGCGGGTGCCCCCCTGCAAAAGGCTTACCGGACTTATGAGGAAGTCTATCGGAATGCCATGCAGCAGGTGAGGGTGGTGATCCACGAGGCCTACCTTTCCTCTATTCAGAGGTCAGCCCTGGAGGCTGAAGGGAACGCTGGGGACGTGTCCCCGCATGTTGTTCTGCTTCGCCAGTTATCCGAAGTACAGGCCCACCTAGTGCGCGACTCTTTGCGGTCCGCGGCGTCTACGGTGATGTGCGCAGTCATGGGGATGCGCAAGCTGTGGCTGTCGACGTCTTGCTACTCGGCAGCAACACAGCAGACCTTGCTAGCCCTTCCGTTCCGTCTGGGAGCGACGTTGTTTCCTGGGGCTCAGCAGGTCATTCAGGAGGCTGCTGCTGCAGCTACCTCCTTCAAGGACTCGAAGGCCTTGTTGGAGCATCTGCGGGCTTCTCGCCCCCCCGCTCCCGTCACGGCTTCCTCCTCCGGGGTGCAGCCTACACCCGAGTCTGCTGGCTGGCTTAGGCCGCTGAGCAGGGGCAGGCGAAGGAGCCGTCCCGCCAAAGGAAAGGGCAAGGAGCAGTCCTCTTTGTCTGGCTCCCAGCTTTTTCGCGGGTGGGGGAGGTCTGCCCCGACCTCCCGTTAACCCAACAGGCTGTCGCCGTGGGTCCGTCCAAGTCAGTTCATCTGCTCGGGACCACTCACGCTCTCTTACCACACGTCCCAGTGGGGGGCCGCCTCTCTCTATTCCTGCCGGAGTGGGAGAAGGCTACCAGCAACACTTGGGTGCTTTCCACTGTCAGTGTCGGCCATCTACCACTGTGGAAGCGAGGCCCGCCAGAATTCACCGGCATACGTCGCACTCCGGTGCCGTCATGTCAGGTCAGGCCGGGTATACTGCGCGACGAGGTTCAGGCTTTGCTGGACAAGTCCACAATAGAGCGCATACCACCGGGCGAGGAACAGGCGGGATTTTATTCCACGTACTTCCTCGTTCCGAAGAAAGACGGCGGGTTCCGTCCCATTCTCAACCTCAAGGGGTTGAATCGCATGCTAGAGGTTCCATCCTTCAAGATGGAGACACTTCGCTCGATGATTTCCTCTGTTCAGCCCGGCGATTGACTTACGTCGATCTATCTAAAGGATGCGTATCTACATGTGCCCATTCATCCATCATTCAAGCAGTACCTCAGGTTCTCTTACGACGGGATGAATTACCAATTCACGGTGCTTCCCTCCGGCATATCCATGGCCCCCAGGGTGTTCACCAAGCTCATGTTAGTGCCAACTCCTTTCTCAATCGCAAGGAAGGCGTTGTTACCCTTACCTTGATGACTGGTTGCTCAGCTCGCTAACTCAGCCAGCGAGCCTAGATTCTACTCACAAGGTCATAGACATTCTAGTTCGACTGGGGTGGATCATCAACCTCAAGAAATCCGACCTGGTACCCACCCAGGACTTGGTTTTTCTCGGGGCGCGGTTCCAAACTCACAAGGATCTTGTCTCCTTGTCGCCCGACCGGGTCACCAGAGTGCGGGAGATGGTGTCTCCGTTCCTCTCCCAGCCCTAGGCACCAGCGCGGACTTGGCTCCGTCTACTGGGCCATATGGCGGCAACTATCTCTGTAGTGTGGCGGGCGCGGTTGAGGATGCGTCCCTATACAGCAAGCTTTGGCGAGTCGGTGGGCTCATTCGGAGGATCTGGAGCAGAGTCTCACAGTCCGGGTGGTTGTCTCCTCACCTTCAGTGTCGGACCAATGTCAGGAATCTCTCCAAGGGGATCCCTTTGGAAATCCCGACGCCAGTTCTTACAGTTCAAACCGATGCGTCCCTCACGGGCTGGGTGAGTGTGTTCTGGGCAGTCTGTCGGTGTCCGGACTCTGGTCAAAGACAAAGCCTGCCTTCACATCAACGTCTTGGAACTGAGAGCTTTGCATTTGGTTTTGAGCGCTTCCGGGAGCATGTTTAGGGCCAGGTTTCGTCTTCAGTTGGACAACCGTACGGCCATGACGTACATCCTCAAGCAAGGCGGCACGGTGTCCCTAGCGCTCCTTTGGGAGACGTGGGAGTATCTCCTCTGGTGCGACTGTCAGGTGCTTCCTGATTATCTCCCGGGGCTGGAGAACGTGCGAGCAGACGCTCTCTCTCGCCGGATCCTGGCCCCGCACGAGTGGATGCTTGACCGGCAGATATTTGGAGTTATCTCCCAGTTGTATGGATCGTTCCAGGTGGATCTGTTTGCGTCCGGCGGGACGAATCATATACCCGTGTTCTGCTCTCGAATACCGGACCAGAGGGTGTTGGCTTCCGACGCCTTCCTGCTGGATTGGACAGGCAAAGTGCTCTGGGCGTTCCCGCCACTGACACTCATTCCCCGGGTCCTCTCCCAGCTGTCCACCCAGCCAGCTCGGCTACTTGTGCTACTGGCACTGCTATGGCCGTCACAGAGCTGGTTTCCGGTAATTCTCAGGTTTCTGGCTCAGCCTCCTGTTCTATTACCTTTGCGACCAGACATTCTCACTAAGAACGGCATGCCATACCCCAATCCAAGGATTCAGTGGGTGGCTTGGCCTCTGTCAGGTCTAGCCTCGAAGCACACGGAATTCCTGCAGCAGTTGCAGACACAATTCTGGCTTCGAGGCGGGATTCGACAAACGTTCAGTATGAGGATAGGTGGTCCTGCTATGTGCGCTGGTGTTCAGATAAGGGGATTGCAGATCCCTTTTCTGCGGATTTAGTCCGAGTATTGGAGTTTTTGCAAGCTCGTTTGGAAGAAGGCTTGGCGGCTTCGACCATTCGCGGCTACTCCCGCTATTTCCGCTTTTTACACCCCTGTCGAAGGTGCTCTTCTGGGGCAGCACCCTCTCATGCAGCGCTTTTTAGCTGGCGTGGATCGGGTTCGACCTGCAGTCAGGCGAACCAGCCCACCTTGGGATTTGTCAATTGTGCTAGATTGGCTGTCCAGTCCTACGTTCTCACGTCTATCGGCTATTTCCATTCAGTTGTTAACATGGAAGGCTGTATTTCTGGTGGTGGTAACATCTGGACGTAGGGTCGGCGACTTACATGCTATGTCGGCAGACCCGGCGCTGACTGTGTTCCATCCCGATCGTGTCAGTATTCGCCTCCCGGATACTTACCGCCCGAAGGTCGATCACGCTTTCCATGTGACAGCTCCTATCGAACTTCCTACTCTTACCCAGCCTTCCACATCGGGGACCTC